GGATCTCTGTGAGTTCGAGACCAGCCTGGGCTACCAAGTGAGTTCCAGGAAAGGCGCAAAGCTACACAGAGAAACCCTGTCTCGAAAAACCAAAAAATAAAAATAAAAATAAAATAAATTATGGAATAATGATTATAAAGTTGAGAAAAGTAACTCTGTTACTTTAATTCCTAATTCCTTCATTCAAGGAGACCATTTGGAGTTTTAATTTATATTTAAGGATTTCTGAAATTTGTGGTGACTCCTTGCTAATTTTCTCCTTAGAACTAGTACATTTTCTAGTTATATATCTGCTGCTTCATATGAAAGAAACTTTTTTTTATAAATTATGTGTATGGGAGATGCACAGGTGCAGGTGCCTTTGGAGGCCAAAGAGGTGTCAGATCCCCTGAAACCGAGTTACAGGTAATTGTGAGCCACTAGACCTGCGCGATGTGACTTGAACCCGGGTCCTCTGGAAGAGCAACAAGTGCTCTTAACCACTGAGCCATCCCTCCAGCCCCTAAAAGAAACTTTTTGAAATGAAATTTAAGGGCTGCGGGGTGGGTGGCTCAATAAGACTGTTTGCTATGGAGACATGTAGACCTGGATTTGAATCCCCAACTCCCACCCCAGGGTTGAGAGCAGAAAGATCCTTGGAGTTCTCTGGCCAGCCAGTCTAGACAAGACAAAATGGTAAGCAGGACAATGCCTTTCTCCACATATGTGTGCAAGGGTACACATACCCATTTACACTACCCACAAAAAGAAATAAACTCTACAAAAGGAAAATTAAAATACTGTTCATCACTCATATCAACATGAAGAGTCACTGCACTTTCTTCTTTAAAATGTAACAATGTAGTTATTAAATTAATTAAGATCCATTACCATTTCTTGTTCTGTAATTAATTTAAATTTGTTAACCATATACATTTCTATACTAGCATGCTTATTCATCTACAGAGTTCAATAATTTTAAAATTATGTTCCTTGCCTGTGTCTTTCCTGGTTTATTTTTTATTTTATTGAAAACAATTTTGACATTTAGAGAATTTTTAAAAATATCTACTTGGAGGGACTGGAGAGATGGCTCAGAGGTTAAGAGCACTGGCTGCTCTTCCAGAGGTCCTGAGTTCAATTCCCAGCCACCACAGGGTGGCTCACAACCATCTGTAATGAGATCTGGCGCCCTCTTCTGGTGTACATGCATACGTGCAGATAGAACAGTGTATACATAATAAATACATAAAATATCTACTTGGGGCTAGAGATGTAGCTCCATTGATAGCATGGCTACCTAATAGTCACACCTCCCTGGGTTTGATAGCCAGTACTAAATAAATTGCACACCTACAACCCAAGCACTCCAGAGGTAGTAGGATCCAGAAGATCAGATGCTCAAGGCCATCCTTACCTATATAGCATGCTCAAGACCAGCCTGGATTGCACAGGCTCTTGACTCAAACATTTAAAAAATCTACTTGGGTGTCAAACACACTAAGTATAGCATTGATTTCTTATCACCATTTAAAAACAGAAAGATTCCCAGCACTTGGGTGGTGAGATCGAGGAGCATGAGTTGGAGGCCAATCCGGGCTATGTGATGAGTTCAAATTCAGCCTAGACTACATAGCATGAGCTTGTCTTTTAAAAAAAAAATCATGAAATTTGCAGGCAAATGAATGGAACTAGGAAAAAAAAATATCATTCTGATCAAGGTAACCCAGACCCAGAAAGACAAGCATGTTATGTACTCACTCATAAGTGGACATTGGCTGTAAAGGACAATCATGCTACAACCCACAGACCCAGAGAGGCTAAGTAACAAGCAGGACTCTCAGGAAGATGCATGGTTCTCCCCAGGAAGGGGAAATAGAATAGATTTTGCAGGTGCACTAGGGTGAGTGGGGATGGGAACAGGGTGGGTCTGGTGGAGGGTGGGGGGGAGGGGAGAGTATGGAGAGAGATTGGAATTGGAGGGCATTGGGGGGGGGCGATATGGAAACCTAGTGTGGTGGAAACTCCCAGGAATCTACGAGGGTGACCCCGTCAAAGACTCCTCCGTGGAGGATGTGGAGCCTGGACAGGCCATCTATCTTCTGTAACCAGGCAAGGCTTCCAGTGGTGGGACTGGGACACCAACCCTGTCACCACAGAACCTTTGACCTACAATCTGTCCTGCCTACAGGATATGCTGGGGTAATGGAGGTGCAGAGCTTGTGGGCGTGGCCGACCAGTGACTGGTCTAAATTGAGACCCACTCCACGAGAGGAAGCCCACGCCCGACACTGCCTGGATGTGCAGAAATCAGAGGCTGGATACTCCAGAGACCTAGGATTAAAAAAAAAAAATCAATGAAATAACTTCTAATGATACTCTGCTGTATTCATAGATCGGTGCCTGGGCTGGAGAGACGGCTCAGCGGTTGAGAGCACTGGCTGCTCTTCCAGAGGACCTGGGTTCAATTCCCAGCACCCACATGGCAGCTCACAACTGTCTGTAACTTAGTTCCAGGTGATCTGACTCTTCAGCACAGACATACATGCAGGAAAACATCAATACAATAAATAAATAATCGTAGATCGGTGCCTAACCCAATCATCATCAGAGAGGCTTCCTCTGGCAGCTGATGGGAGCAGATGCAGAGACTCAGGGCAAAACGTGAGGCAGAGAGAGAGCCCAAATTGGAGATTCCCATTGGGTCCCTCCCCGTGGAGTTCGGGGAACCCCTGAGGAAGAGGGGGAGGAAGAATTGTAGGAGGCAGAGAGGTGGAGGACACCAGTGAGAACACGGTGGACAGAATCAACTAAGCAGGCCTCCCAGGGGCTCACAGAGACTGAAGCGACGACCAAGGAGCCTGCGTGGGTCTGCGCTAGGTCTTCTTATGCTGTGTTCGCTTGATATCCCTGGGAATCCTGCTCTTTTCTGAGGGGAAATGGGAGAAAAGTGGATTTCGGGGAGAGTGGGGGGGGGCAGTTGAGAGGAATGGAGAGAGGGGAAACTGTCGTCGGGATGTACTGTATGAGAGATGAATAAATTTAAAAAAAAAATAAATAGGAAATTTCTTGTTGTTTTTGCTTGTTTTTGCCTTGTTTGTTTTCGAGACAGGGTTTCTCTGTGTAGCTTTGGCTGTCCTGGAACTCGAGCTGTAGACCAGGCCGACCTCCAACTCACAGAGATCCACCTGCCTCTGCCTCCCTAGTGCTGGGATTAAAGGCGTGCGCCATCACTGCCTGGAAATAAATAAGAGTTTTTAAATCTTTTTTTTTTTTTTTTTTTGAGGGTCTTACTGAGTACCTCTGGCTGTCCTGAAACTCACTCTGTAGCCCAAGCTGGCCTGGAACTCACAGAGATCCTCCTGCTTCTGCCTCCTGAGTGCTGAGATTAAAGGTGTGTGCCACTGTGGCCTGAAAATTCTTTAAAATCTTGCTTGACTGATTCTCTGGAAAAAAGAAGTTGGAAGATGGGGCAATAGTGGACCAGAGTTCTCTGAGGTAGCAATCTGAGCCCAGGTGTTGTGACACATGTCCAAGAGATTATGAGTTTGAATCCAGCCTGGACTATATAGGACGAGACCATGTCTCAAACTAAAACTAAAACAGACAGTAGCTGGGGTCACAGCTAAGTGGTAGAGTACCTGCCTACCATGTGGCTAGACCCCAGTACCACCAAAATCAGACACCGAGACCTCATTCTGAAGACCAGGTTTGGGGGCACACACATAGAGTCCCAGTGCGCTGGACGGAAAGGCAGGAGGTTCAGAAGTTCAAGGCCATCCTTGGCTGCATACATAGTGAGTTCTGAGTGGGCTACATGACTCAAAAATCCAAAAACAAACAAAAAGGCCACCTTCAGGTGAGAGAGATGTATCCCTAGAATGGGCCTGAACTTATTTACATGCACTGTGCCAACTGGCATGGACTCGAGGTTTGTATTACCCTACTCTCCCATCCCAGCCGTCTTGGAGCAATCAGACTTTGACAACTCCCATTGTCCTGCCATGCCCTTCTGCCTCCCTTTCTGGAAAAACAAGAACAGACTCCCATATTTTATTCCTTTATTTAACACACGTGTACCTCTTGCCCGGTGATCGCCAAGCCCTGAAGCCAGATGCTAGTGGAACATGCTTCTTCCCTTAGAGAGCTGTTCATCCCGTTGACAAGATGGCCCTGTGTTGCCCAGCTAGAAGGTAACGGGAAGCTGGGCGTGTTGGCTGCACACCTGGTAACCCCAGTGTTCCGAAGACCACAGCGGGAGGATCTTGGACTTCAGGCCAGATGGGCTACTGAGACTGTCTCAAACAAGTAACACAACACGGGGCGGGGGGTGCAACACCATGTCCTAGTTCCTGCTTAGTTTCTGAGACTGGGTCTCACTACAGACCAGGCTGAGCCTTGAACTCACAGATCCGCCGGCCTTTGCCTCCCAGAGCTGGGAGTCAAGGCGTGCGCCACCGCAGCTGGCAGTTCTGATGACTAACCTTGTGCGGTGCCGCGAGGCTCTAATCCCAGCATTTGGGATGTGGAAGCGGGAGGATCGGGAGTTCTAGGCCAGCCTAGGCTACACGGGACCCAGAAGAACCTAGTTATATTTACCTTTCGGGTCGTTGTGAACATTCATTCATTCATTCCATTCGATTCCTCAAGCGCCCGCTAGTGACAAGTGCTTTGCTAGGATCGGACAGTAAAGTAGGAAAAGAGTCATGGCCATGCTCTAATACCTAGTGGTATTAGAGAAAAAATAAATTAGAAGTTTTTGGGTTTTTTTTTTAAGATCGTGTTCTTGGAGTGACCTTGAGCGGGATCCCGATCCCCTGGCTTCCACTAAAAGCCCCTTTCACAGTCTTTAAGATGCTATACGCTAAGCCGGGCGGTGGTGGTGCACGCCTTTAATCCCAGCACTCGGGAGGCAGAGCCAGGCGGATCTCTGTGAGTTCAAGGCCAGCCTGGGCTACCAAGTGAGTTCCAGGAAAGGCGCAAAGCTACACAGAGAAACTGTCTCGAAAAACCAAAAAAAAAAAAAAAAAAAAAAGATGCTATACGCTAGGCTAACTAACTTTTCAAAGGGAAGGAGGGAAAAGAGCAGCCGCGCTGAGAATGAGCCCCGTGTGGTTGGTGCGCGCGCGGCGCACTGCCTGCGTCACTAGGAGAGCTGACGGCTGACGCCCCGCCGCACGCCGCTCGGCTCGCCCCGGCACGGGGGTCGCTTCTTGGCGGACTAACCGTGCAAGCGAGGTAAGTCTACGCGCGTGTGCGCGCGGCACTCTCTGCCCATGGTCCGGGGACTTTCCCCTAGGCGGAAGGGTAAGGAACGAGTCCCCCGTGTGTAGCCTAGGAAACAGGCCTTCAGAGCGAGCTGCTCAAAAGCGGCACGGTGCGGCCGTTTTATAGCCCTACCACAGCGCTTATTTTTTACTTATGGTGATGAAATTGGTCGTTTCCACTCTAAAAACTACGAGCCACCGCCTTAGGCATGATACTTTAGGCTGAAAGGTTCTGAAGCCATTCTTACTTAAGGAATATATAAGTAGATAGGAAATTAATTAATGTAGAAAAGCCATATGGGCGTGGTATTATGCAAATCTTATTTGGCCCGCCCCGTGAGGTGGGCGTGGCCACCCAAGGCGACCCAGAGCGGGAGCGGCGCTGGTCGCCTGCGCGTGCGCACTACGGCGGGAAGCCAGCGCTGGACCGTGGGGGCACCGGGCGCACCTTCCCGGTGAGCCAGGCATGGCGGGCGCGGGCCCGGTGTCGAGCGTGCTGGGGCTGCTGCTCGTGTCGGCTCTGTTTGGGGCCCTTGGAGAGCGCCGCAGCCCCGATCTGGGGGCACACCCAGGTACCCGCGAGGGCTGCTGGAGGGAGGCTGGGACCGCCTGGGAGAGGCGTCCTCTCCGCTGACGGGTGTGCTTCAATTCGCAGAACGCCGCTCCCAGGTCGGTCCCGGGGCCACCGAACCCAGGCGGTGGCCGCCACCCAAGGACCAGCGCGAGCGGGCCCGGGCTGGAGCGCTGCCTTTGGGGGCGCTGTACACTGCGGCCGTCGTGGCTTTTGTGCTGTACAAGTGTTTGCAGGTGCGGTGTGGCCGTGGGGTGTGGGGGGAGTCCTGGGTCTCGGTCTCCTGGGGGCGCCACGGGGCCAGGACCAAGACGCTGCTGCGCGACTGCCTGTGAAATGAAGACCAGTCCCTTGGTGTTCCCACACTGGGAAGCGACCGTTACGTTTCCTCCTCCCACAGTCCCGTGAAGAGCGATTTTCTTACTCGAGATCATCCACCAAGTGTCTGATGAGTGGGATTTTAAACCAACTGAATGGTGTCTGCATGTGAAAAAAAAATGCAGTTCCTGCTGAGCCTCCAGCCATGGCCCCAGGGGTTAACCGCTGCAGCAACAGTGTTAGTGTGCCAGACACCAAGCCGCGTTCATGTTCTCCTTGGGAAGGGAGCCCTGAAATGTGAACTGACAGCAGGACATTCTGATGGGTTTGAAATTGTTGAACTAGAGTGGTACCTACTACCAACCAGGGCTGTATCTTCAGCCCTGATCCATTACTTGTATTAGGAAATAGAGACTGAACTAGTGACTTAAACTGAACTAGATGAGATGGCTAGGAACGAGCCCAGGCAGACTGGACAGGCTGGAGTGGGGATTGGAATTTAATGATTAGTAAATTCTAGCCAGGCGTGGTGGCACACGCCTTTCCTTTAATCCCAGCGCTGGGGAGGCAGAGGCAGGAGGATCTCTGTGAGTTCGAGGCCAGCCTGGTCTACAGAGCAAGCTGATAGTTTCCCAGTGTGCTATAATAACCTACTTTGTAATTAAAGGGTCCAGCCATCTGAACAGTGGGAGAATTGTATCCTAAAAATAAACCTTAGGGCACCCCCTTTAAGAACATTATATATTCAGTAAAACAACCTGGGGGCAATGGGAATTGAAAACTGACTTGACAGATTGGGGATTTTGTACCAGCAGAAACTGAGGGAGTTGGATGTAGTGGCACAGACATGTTGAGGCAGGAGGATTGGAAGTCCAAAGCCTGTCCTGACATCTCAAAGACAGCAAATAGCACGGAGGGTAGGGATGCTGAACAAGGAAGCAGGGGTATGACCAGCCAGTCTTCAGAATCCTGCTGTAATTTCACATTCCAAAGAGTGCGTTAGCAGTCCGACCATATGTGGGCATGCCGACATGTTGTTTCATGTCCTGGGTAAGCAGCTGGACTAGAAACCTTTGTGATTCTGAGGTGGGTGCCCAGAGCTTTCTCTGGCTCCTGACTTCACTGGCCTTGAGGACTGAGGTGCTGGGGCCTTGCTGCTGCAGCAACTTTACCCTTTCCTGCTTCCACAACAGGGCCCGGATGAGGCTGCCATTCTCCAAGAGGAAAAAAACAAGAAGAAATCCTTGCAGTCAGGTGGGCTGAGCAGTAGTAGTGGATTTTGTGAGGGAGTTGGTCAGGGGACCGCAGGAGTAACCATCCTGTCTACCTTCCTCCCAGAACAACAGCTGGTGCAGTTGACGCAGCAGCTGGCCCAGACGGAACAGCACCTGAACAATCTCATGACCCAGCTGGACCCCCTTTTTGAGCGGTGAGCATTTGTGGGGTGAGTGGGGAGCCACGGAGAGAGATGGAGCAGCCCCTGAGTGGGTGTTTCTGCAGGGTGACTACTCTGGTTGGAACCCAGCGGGAACTCCTAAACATGAAGCTCAAGACCGTGCACCAGCTCCTACAAGACTGCAAGCCTGGCACGGGTGTGCCAGCTCCAGGTACACGATCGGGAAGCGGTGGCTGGGAGACGGAGGCCCTGACACTGGAGCAAGCCGGTCTTTCCCTCACAGAGGCAAGCGTACCCTTTCCTGAGGACTCGGGGCAAGAGGACCAACAAGAAGCGGAAGACAGTCAGGCCTGGGAGGGGCCCGTAAACTGGAGCCCAGATTCATGGAACCTAGCTCCTTCCTGGGAGGTGCAGCAGGGGCTGAGGCGAAGATGGCCCAAGACTGTGACAGAGGACCCAGCAATGAAGGGGGGACAGCCACTGGAGGGTTAGTAAAACCAGGTCACCTTGTCCTGGGTGCTCCTCTGTGCTTTTCCTGCTCCCAGCTGGTCGGACACAGGAATAAGAGGTACTGAAGCCGACTGAGCCTCCCAGAAAAGGTTCCCTTATTAGGAAAAGAGAATGCCTTCCAGAATTCCTGAGGCTCCCGATACGGCAGCCATCGAAGCTCAAACGCCTTTTTCTTGTGGTTTAGACAGAAGGGTCTTTCCAAAAACACAATAAAACGCACTTTATTAAAATCCAGTAGGAAAATAAATTATAGAACTTGTACAAAATAGGAGGTAGTTCAGGAAGATCTGGAGTTCAAGGACAGCCTGGGCTGTATAAAACCTTGTCTTAAGAAAAGAAAGGAACTGTATACAGTAGCCAGGTGTGGCAGCATACACCTGTAAACCCACCACTTGAAAGGCTGAGGCAGGAGGATTTCAAGTTCACAGTCAGCCTGGATCACATAGTAAGACCCTGTCTCAAAAAATAAAAGAAACCACGGGTAACAAAAAGTGGCCTCTTTGCAAAGCTGCAAACTGAGTCAGCGTTGAGCCCCCAATGGCATGGTATTAAAGGAGCCGGATCACCTGGGGCTCAGCTGGCTTGGCCTGCTTTCTGCTTCTTGTTTTGTTTTTTAAAATGAGACAGGGTTTCTCTGTGGAGCCCTGGCTGTCCTAGAATTCAGAGATTCGCCTGCCTCTGCCTCCCAAGCACTAGGATTAAAGGCGTTCACCACCACCATCACCACCACCAGCCTGCTTTCTGATAAGCTGGTTAAATGCCTCGTGTCAACCTGTGGAGGGCTCTGTGGTTCCAGAGCTGAAGTTTGAGTCCCTTTTGTTCTTGGCTCTGCCCTTCCCTGAGTATCCAGAGTTCGGGAATTTTAAGATTCTTCTTAGGCATGCCCAACTGCCACATATATCCCAGGGTAGCTATGAATGTGGCCCAGCACATCTGTAGATGACAGTGTCATGTCGCAGTGTCAAAAGGTTGGACGTGTCCGTGAGTCTGCCTCTTCTGGCTTCTGTGGGAAGGAAACAGTTCAGGCACTGGGATGAGCGCTCTGTACTAACAGTTGCCTATGGGGCCGGGGGAGCCCTGCTGTGAGGGAAGCACTCCTTTCCAGCTCACAGCTTACCTGATAGCCACAGTCAGGCTGTGGTACCACCGTGACAGCTCCTCGTGGTCAGTGGACATAAGCAGTAGCTTCTCGTTGGGGAAGGACAGCTAGGGAGAAACCACTTTAGTTCAGAACAAGTCAGGCTGCAGCTGTCGTTGGTTCCACAGCGTGAATTCAGGGATATGATGACGAAATATGAAAGCTTAGCCCCGACAATCCCCTTACTCATGCAAAGGGACCCAAGCCAGGGGATACGCTGGTCTGTGAGTGCCTGAAGTCTGTTTGGGGCTCAGATTTCCCATCTACAACTTACACTGAGCAAACCACCACACGCTCCTCCTGAGTGGCCGAAGACCCTGTTCAGTTGGCACTGGGACATGGGGTACAGGGCCCTGCAGACAAAGGTGCCACTCTTCAGCAGGTGCAGCGGGGGGCGAGGCTTGGCCATGAGGAGCGCATCAGAGAAGAGGAAGAACATGCGGGGCCGAGGCTCCCCGGTGGGAGGCACCACTAAAAGCCAGCCCTGGCGTAGGAACCATCGCCCTAGAAAATGAGAGCCATTACCTTGTACAGCTCAAGAACCCAGAGGAACACAAAAAGGCAGAGGAAGTTCAGGGGCAGGGAGGTAATCTGCTGGGTTTTTTTTTTTTTTTTAATTATCGTGTGTATATATGGAGGTCAGGACAACTCCGTGGGGTCCGTTCTTCCTTCCACCTTTATGTGGGTTCTGAGATTAACTCAGTTCATCCAGCAGATGCTCTCACCTGCTGAGCAGACATCTTGCCAGCCCAAGAAGCCGGCTTTGTGGAGGCAGAGGGGTGGGTAAGCAGGGCCGACTGAGGACTGAGGACGGAGTCCACGGTCTACCTGAAGTAAGCCCTTTGGCTTTGCGTCCGCTGAGCAGAGCCTGGACACGCAGGAGGTGCTGGGCGTTCTTCTGGCTCTGGCCAATGGCGTGGACTCCCTGGGCCGTCTCACTCACCAGGCGGGCAGCCCCTGGAACAACACCCTCCACCTCACTTCCAACAGAACTTTGCTGGTGAAAGATAGGCTAGCCTGGAGGGGCCTGGATCAGGGTCCCGCTTCTTGAAGAAGAGGCAGGGAGGCACGTAGGGACACTGTACATGTAATGGAAGATGGGGACATACCAGACACTGTTGGAGGTCAGACCCAGAAAGGCTTTAGGACAGGCAGCCTCTGCCTGGCTTGGAGAAGAACAAGAACCTACGTGTGAGCTGTTGGTAGTCAGGGCTGTTGGGAACTGTGTTTTCAGCCAAAGCCACGACGAGATTCTCATACCTGGGAGTAGACAATTGGTAGTGAAGGAGGAGAAGTAGAGAGAGGCAGGCAGAATGCCCTGGTTTCAGAATGACCTGGATGTTCATTCCTTAACTGTAAGGTCAGGAAAGGCCCCTCTTTAACCCGGGACTTCGAATCTGGGCTCACACTACACAGGCCACTCCCATCCCACACGGAAGAATCACTGGCAGACTAGAGCTCACGAGGCTGGGCCAGAAGATGGAAGTTAATCAAACCAAGGAGGCTATCACAGACAACCTAGGAGCCCTGGGATAGAACTTCGAGACTAGGCTAACCCCTCATCCCAATGTGCTTTTCCAGATAGCCTGTCTCAGGCCTTAGTGCAGATCCCCCCACTTCAGTATACAGCCCCACAGCTGCAGACCTGGGTACCCCTGTACTTCAGTTACAGCCCACAGCTACAGACCCTAGGAACCCCTGTACTTCAGTTACAGCCCACAGCTGCAGACCTGGGTACCCCTGTACTTCAGTACCCAGTCCCATAGCCCCAGTCTGAGGCTGCAGACTCTGGGTACCCCGAGGGTTCACACTGGTAAAAGCTCCTTAGAAGTCCTTGCGGGGGGGGCGGGGGGGGGGGAGGCAGAGCTGGGGTGGCATCCCCACAAAGCTGCAAGCAGCAGTTACGCAGCCTGGGAGATAATTCCAGTCTAGAGGGGTTTACTCACTGCCGGAGCCGCTGCAGAGGCAAAGGGAGCAGGTCCTGGAGCTGAAGACCCCCAAATTCAGGGCGGCCTTCCTGAAGCCGCACAAACCTCCGAAAACGTTTGTTCTTCTTCAGCTGCGCCTGGATGGAGAGGGAGAGTTTTCATCAGGGAAGGAAGTCACTCCTTACACTGCATGTATCTGTGTACACACTCCCAGGCTTCAGCAAGCTGTGCACTCCTGAGGGAAACCCGGCCCTCCTAGGGATGTTAGCAAAGAGCCGGGCTCTAACTGCAAAAACACTATTTAGTTGAGGTCTCTGATTAAAGAGTTAAAGGAGGAAGCCAGGAAGAGACAGTTACCTGAAGGGTAGTCTGAGAACTCTCGGCATTGGCAGCAAATTGAGTGTAGAGCTCCAGGTGGGAGCAGAAGCCCTCCAGCCCCGGCCCCCAGTGTCCTTCTTCCAAGTAGGGAAGCAGCTCTCTGTGTGGGCAAAGGACATGAAAAGGGCAGGCCAACAACTACTCAAGCACTCCCTCATACACTTCCCATAACCCTGCCTCGGAGGTAGTGCTATTATCCCATTTTACAGCTGGAGCACAGGGAGGTTAAGGCACCGGGCCAAGGCCACAGGTGAGAAAGCTGGCAGATGAACTTGGCCTTCCTGACTCGGCTCTGTGGTCCCTCTCCAGACAACGCTTCCACTCACAGGCTAGCGGCATAGATGCGCTCCCAGGGCCCAAACAGGGTCTGGCGCTCTGGTGGTCCTAGTGTTCCCTTGGCTTTCAGGATCCCCAGGAAGTACTGTGAAGGGAAAGAACACAGTTTTCTTAGTCTCTAGCAAGAGGACGCCAACGTCAAGGTGCAGTCAGAAACAGCAGACGTCAGTCTGAGCTCCCGACCCTGGGGAAACAAGGTCTGAGACCCTCCCACCGCCCGGCCGAGCCCCACCGTGGCCACCAGCCCCAGTTGTTCCTGGTAGCGCCGCTCGGTCTCCAGCAGCTCCCGAGCGGTGCAGACACGTTTCCGTTCCCATCGAGCACGCTGCTCCTGCAGCGGACAGCGCGCGGCGGCGCCCGGGCTCTCCATGGCCGACCCAGGGTTCCCGGCTTCCCGCAGCGTCGCGCCGCAGATTCAAATCCCAACCGCCCGGGGGGCGGGGCCGCGGGGGTGTGGCCCCGGAGCGGAGCGCTCAGCAGAGAGCATGCGCGGGCAGCGGCTCGCCCGGCGGGTCCCCTCCGCTGGCGTCCGCCCCACCCGCCAGGGCGGCGCTGTCGGAGCGCTGAGAGGTCGGAATGCCTGGTGTGGCCGCTGTGCACCAGGCGCGAAGGTGGCACAGCAGTCGGAACACGGAGACAAGCGACTCCAAAATGCAGACGTTGACAGGGCCTCAGTGACCAACTGCAGAGTTGGGAATGTGGGGATAAGTACGGCACACACCACGTCCTGATTCCATGCCGGACAGGGAAGCGGTTGGCCAGTCATTCCCCGTGCTTTCACTAATTAGGAACCTTGGGATCTGGACAGAAGTGCGCAAATTTTAAGTTACTATTTGTTTCTTTTGTTTGTTTGTTTGTTTGGTTTGGTTTTTGTGGTTGTCTGTTTTTGAGATCGGGTCCTATAATGTAAGTTGGCTCTGAACTGAATTTGAGAATGACCTTGATTTTATCCTTCTGCCTTGAGCTTCCAAATGCTGAAATTAGTCTCGTACCATCATACCCGGCTTATGAGGTGCGGGGACGAAACCCACTCATGCATATTAGACAAGCACTCTATAGCTACATCCCCAGTCCTTTTTTGTTTTGTTTTTCATTTCATGCTGATCTCAGCTTGATCACAAACTAGCTTCCAGTAAGGAGTCAGTAATGTGGTAAACTACTGGGTTTCTGTTTTTTTTTTTTTTTTAATTTTTCTCTCATACCATACATTCCAACTGCAGTTCCCCCCCGCCCCCCTGCACTCCACTCAGTTCCCCAACCTCTCCTCTCCCCCATTCTGATCAAAGGCAAGAGCTTTAATGTGTTAACTGCATTACCTTATCAAAAGGAGAATGCTCTAAATTTTCCTTAGGACTTTGAGGAATTGGGTATACTCCTGTGAGGTAAATTTGCAGGGACATGTTGTCAATATGTATCAGGAATCTCTTTTTAAAAATTTTCATTTTTAAAAAACATATGTTCATGTGGGAGGGTATGTGTACATGGGAATGGGGTATGTGTATATGTGAATGCCAGTGCCCAGAGTCCAAAAAACGATGTCCATGGAGCTGGAGTCATGGGCAGATGTGGCCACCTGGTGTGGGTGCTGGGAATCTCCCAGGAGCTGGAGTCATAGGCAGTTGTGGCCACCTGGTGTGGGTGCTGGGAATCTCCCAGGGGCTGGAGTCATGGGCAGATGTGGCCACCTGGTGTGGGTGCTGGGAATCTCCCAGGGGCTGGAGTCATGGGCAGTTGTGGCCACCTGGTGTGGGTGCTGGGTATCTCCCAGGGGTTGGAGTCATGGGCAGTGGTGTCCACCTGGTGTGGGTGCTGGGATTCTCCCAGGGGCTGGAGTCATAAGCAGATGTGGCCACCTGGTGTGGGTGCTGAGAATCAAATCCTGGTCTTCCTGGAATCAGGGAGCACTCTTAACTCCCCAGCCATCTGTCATACAAATACACAAATAATTTTAAAATAATAAAGATAAATATTTTTTAAACAGGGGGAGGGGCTGGAGAGAAAGTTTATTAGTTAAGAGTGCTGGGTACTCTTCCAGAGTACCCAGGTTCAATTCCCACTACCCACATGATGGCCCATAACTACCTACAAGTCCAGTAACAGGGGATCCGAACACTCTTGTGACCCTCTCAGGCACCAGGCATGCATGTGGTACACAGACATAGGCAAAACAGCCATACATATAAAATAATAATTTTTAAATATTAAAAAGTTCAGCCAGGTGTGGTGGTGCACACCTTTGATCCCAGCACCTGAGAGGCAGAGGCAGAGGCAGGCAGATCTCTGAGAGTTCAAGGCCAGACTGGTCTACAGAGCTAGTTCCTGGACAGCTAGGGCTACACAGAGAAACCCTGTCTCGAAAAACACAAACTATATATCAATATCTTCAGACACAGGCCTACAGAACATTGAGATTTAAAAAAAAAAAAAAAAAAGCAGCACCAGAAGACACCTGGTCTATGAAGATACATAACTATCAAAATGGGAAACACTCATAGTGAGTATAATGGGGGGGGGAGTAGGGGGAGGGAGCTACAGAGCTGTTTATGTAATGTGATCCCCCCTCTGCATAAAAAAGGACATGAAAGGCTGGAAGATCTGCATAAAAAGGGACATGAAAGGCTGGAAGACTCAGCAATCAAGACCTAATTATGGTTTCTAATCTCTGGGTGATGAAACTGAATATAATTGAACAAATGAGTGTCTACCTGTGCCAGGCAGTGAAAGACTGAGGCTAAAGGTCTATGTGAGAATGGGACAAGTAGGAAGATATTTTAAATTCACAAAGACTCCTCTTCATTTTTCCCAAGTTTCCTGAATTGAGCATGCACTATTTTGTAATTATAAAATATATTTTATATTGGGAAACTAAATGTAAGAAACATTAGACCCCAATTCTTCCATTTGGACTCTTAGGAATCTGGGCACCAAGCCAAAAAGCAGGGGATTGCCAGGGTTCTAAGCTCCTCCAGCTCAGATATTCTAAGAATCCTGAAAATGTTAAATGCTAGGCTTAGACCAGAGAGCAACTGAAAGTCTTGGAGAAATGGAGAGTTTGGACCAGGCTGTTTCTTTGGTTTGGGTTTCAAGAAAACTGGTGACACCCAGTCAAGGGCCAGTGACACTGTTTCAAGTGAGTGGAGAGAGCCTGGCCTGGTGGCTTACGTCCATAATCCCAGCATGTAAAAGCTGAGGCAGGAGGATTGCTGAAAGTTTGAGGCTAGCCTGGGCCACACAATGAGACCCCGTCTCAAAAAAATCAACACAAAAGAAAAGCAAATGAAGGCCAGTCCATGCTAATAGAGCTCAAATGTAGAATAGCACAGACAATCCCATGAGGATCATGTAAACCTAAGCAGTGAGAGGAGAAAGAGTTCAGGGGCCGGAGACGTGGCTTGGAGGTTAAAAGCACCGGCTGCTCTTGCAAGACCTGGGTCCAGTTCCCAGGATCAGATACCCTCTTCTGCCTCCTAGGGCTTCTGCACCCATGTGGTGCTCACACAGGGACACACATACACAGAAAGAATGGAAGAATTAGAGGCAGAGGAGGAAGAGGAGGACGAGGCAGTGGTGGTACAATGCCTGGGGCACAATTGGTCTTGGGTATGTTTGAGTGTGTCACTAGCTTGTGTTTTTTTTTTTTTTTTTTTTTTTTTTTTTTTTTTTTTTTTTGGTTTTTCGAGACAGGGTTTCTCTGTGTAGCTTTGCGCCTTTCCTGGAACTCACTTGGTAGCCCAGGCTGGCCTCGAACTCACAGAGATCCGCCTGCCTCTGCCTCCCGAGTGCTGGGATTAAAGGCGTGCGCCACCACCGCCCGGCTAGCTTGTGTTTTTTAGGTGGGTTCGAGAGGGGTTTGGGAATGGAGCTCACTATGAACTCAGGTTGGGATTATTGTCTAATTGCTAAAAGAGGACAAGGCTGAGGAGACACACTAAGGACTTATTAGTATCCACTCAGTTCCACTACACTGATGAACTAAATGGTGGCTACATAAAGACATGTCCATGGCCAACCCCCAGACCTGCAAGTGTAACCTTATCTGGAAAAGGGGTTTTTGCAAATATAACTCAGAGATTTTTGTTATTGTCACATGTTTTTTGTCTATTATTATTATTGACAGGGTCTCACCATGTAGCTCTGGCTGGCCTCTAACTTACTATGTAGATCAGGCTGGCTTCAAACTCACAAAGATCTGCCTCCCAAGTAATGGGTTCTAAGGTACACACCACTAGAATCCAGGAGTGGCAACCAAATAGTCTTCCCCTGAGCCTCTGAGGTAGCCTGGGCCTACCAATACAGCTTCAGACTTAAGGCCTATAGAACGTTGAGATTTTAAAAAATCACATTGCCATAAGACTCCTGGTTTATGGGTCTATGGTGATTTTTATGATAGGCCTAGCAATAACAGTGTGATGGGCCAGAACTACAGGGCAGCCTCAAGACCTCAAAACAGCTCTGTTCTTTGCTTCCAATCCATGACTAGGGAGAAGGGAGCTTTGCTCCTGCTCTACCAGTGAGTAATTCCCTCTTCTGCAACCCAGGGCTAGTCAGAAACCTGTTTTAGGAATGTGTTTCTCAGGGTTTAGAAACGCAGATCCCGGTGACCAAAGACTTGGCTTTAACCACCGTGGAGGTGTCCTGTGCCAGGCAGGGAGTGTCCCGGGTGGTTAGATTCAGGATCCAAGAACTCTGAGAGCTCTAGCTTGTTTTAGGGTTTGGCAGATTCCTGATTATAAAGGTGTGATTCAGGATCAGAGTCCATTTCTCTACCCGAACCAAGGAAATGGCCACACGGAGAGCTGGGAGACTAAGGGACACGGAGCTATAGAGAAGAACACTGGGAAAGTTAGTGAACTAGAACAGAATGTTGCACCTACAAACACATCTGTGCTCTGAAGTACAGACACAAAGCCCTACGAAGGGGAGGAAGAGATGTGGGATCATGGTGCTTCCAGGAAGTAAGGCTGAAATGGTCAGAATATTTAGAAAGAAGGAAAACGAACAAAGCTGAGCTTGGTGTTAGAGAAAGGATCCATGCGGCCCCCAGCTCCAATGTGCGGTAATGGTCATCTATGCTCCCGTGGCCTCTCCCTCCCAGACTAGACTAGCTATCGCCACAGTCTGCCTTCAACAAGCCCATCCAATTCAGATATTACCATGATCCTTCCATATACTAGAGTCCAAGCAAGGTTCTGAAAACAACCAACTAGCCAGAGTACATGATGGGTCAAAATGTCGTGGATAGTGCTGAATTTAGCTTCAGAAAGGCCAACAGGCCTTGTGCATGGTAGGCAAGTACTCTGTTATTGAACTCCATCCAAAAGGCAACCTAGGACCCTTGGCTACTTTCTACGGACATGGAGAGAAGAGCTTTATTCAGTCATAGACATCTTGATGTGCAATATGACTGATGACCAAGGCAGACAATTTGAAGTATCATAAAACTGATTTAATGTCCAACACAGTCACATGTACCTATAATCTCAGTACATAAGAGGCTGAGGCAAGAAGAATATGTGGGGTTTGAGGATACAGAAAGTTCCAAGCCAGCCTGGACTACATAATGAGACCATGTCCCAAACAACAGCAGAAGGGGGGTTTTTTTCAGAGGGAGGCAGTTGAGCCCCTAAGATAAGAGTCCCTGGCAAGGTGTTCTGCAAGGAGAAAATGCTTGATTAATAGTTGTTGAATAAAAAAATTGACTCAAATTTTGAACCCTGCCCTCATGGAACACAGGCTAGTAGAACAGATAAAAGTGTCATAAATCGTTGTAATATGAATTAAAGTGTGAGTAAGATTATTAATGAGGTCAGGCGCAGTACAATGGTAGTTCAGAGGCACCATTGAACTCTTCCAGATTGGAGGCAGAGGGTTGGTTAAGAAAGGTATCTTTGGGGTTGGGGATTTAGTTCAGTGGTAGAGCACTTGCCTAGCAAGCGCAAGGCCCTGGGTTCAGTCCTCAGCCCCGGGAAAACAGAAAGGTTTCCTTGACCTTACTCCCATGAGGAGTGAAGGGGGGGGGAGGAGGGGGACGGGAACAGTGGTTTTGTATGTAAAATGAAAAAAACTTGAATTAAAAAAAAAGGTTTCCTTGGGTTAGCAAGATGGTTCAGCAGATAAAGGCACTTGCCTTGCAAGCCTGAACATGAGAGGCAGCCTACAAATGAAGGCAGAGATACACCTAGAGATGTGATCATGGAGCTGCCAGGAAGTACACAGAAATCTTGACAAGGCGGAAATGTTCAGAATGTTTAGAAAGAAGGAA